TGGCACCAAAAGGTCACTGTGTGTGATGTTAATGAATTGCTGTGCTCTGTTGGTACCCAGCTGTGGCTCCACTGAATCACAAGCTCAGGTTTCTAATTACCAGCATGTGGCGCTGCCCGGTTATCTGCTAAGAATTAGGACTATAAATATCAGATAAACTGCAGCTTATCTGAAAGTTCTGATGAGCCCAATGGAAGCAAGTTTGTCTTTGCTGAAGGGCAGCTGACATCCTCTGCTCCCCACACCTCATTAATGGCCGTCCGCAGGAGATAACGAGTTAAGCGCGGGTGTGGGGTGGATTGTGCTACCACTGCTGTGGCAGGGACTTGGTGGAAGAAGGGTCCGTGCTCCCCGTCCCGCAGCGTGAGAGTGAATTTGCTCTGATCTCAGTCCCGAATCTCAGACGGACACAGAGCAGAGGGGCTGGGTGTTCCGAACCATCGCGTGCTCTGCGGCTGCCGAGAGCAACCTCATTACCCTGCGCTGCGTACTGCGGGGTGAGACCGGTGGGTGGGAATTCCACACAGGCAGAGAGAACGCTCCCATTTCTGGGGGGAGGCAGCCCCCGCAGGCTGTCAGATGGCTCCCCAGGCTCTGGCCAGGGTCTGGCGGGGACAGGTGTGTTCAGGAGCTTCTCGCTGATGTGTGGTGGCGAAGCTGCTTTCTGCTGCCTGGGGCTTCTCCGCTGGCGTGAGGTGAGGAAGCAGCCTGGATTTGGGTCTAAAGAGAGGTGGTGATTGCAGCTTGTGGTGAGCAGGAGGCTTCTCACCATTGTTTCATGCTGCACGGAGTGGCGGGGCAGACAGGCGAAGCTGCTGTAAAGTAAATGACCACGTTCAGGTGGGTCTTTGGAAGGCGAAAGGTGCAAGTCAATCCAACCGCTACTCCTGGAGTGTCTCGTGCGCTGGCGGTCGTTACCTGTGGGGTCTTAGAAGCAGTCCCACAGCAGTGGTGGGTTAGGATCAGCATTGGTGGATTAGGATCAGTGGTGGTGGGTTTAGGATCAGCGGTGGTGGGTTAGGATCAGCGGTGGTGAGTGAGGATCAGCGCTGGTGGGGTTAGGATCAGCAGCCAGCGTTCTCACAAGACAGCGCTTCCTGCCGTTCAGAAAGGAGGAGCATGAGCAGCACGTCCCTCCTCAGGCTCCAGCCCTCAGGCACTCTGCTTGCTCCTGTCCAGGTGCTCCCCAGGAACCTCGCGCCTCTGCGGGGCCTCGCAGGGATTCCGGCCGCCCTCCATAGACCCCTGAGCTTGGACGCGCCCAGCTCGGTGGACTCCAGCCTCGTGGCCAAAGGAGGGACACAGGTAAGGCTCCGTCTGCTCTGGGACCGTGCCCTGCAAAATTCACAGCCGTGGTGGTGCTGAGAAGCTTAAATGGCATGATCTGTGATCTCTCGTCAGCTTAGAAAGGCTTTTGTCTCTTAAAAAACCACTTCCCTACTCTGTCTCTCACTACGTGTCTTCTGTTATTTCTAGGGAGCCCAGTGCTAAATTTGTGGCAAGCTCTCTTCTGCTATGTCAGGCAGATTTAAAGAAAGAATGGATTCAATTACTGTTGGGGGGGTTAAAACGTCACTTTAGTAGAACTTTGATTTGTGTCCAGATGAGGCATAACATACAGTACAGATAACATAGTTAATCAATAATATTTACACACAACTTTGAGACTAAAAGTTGAAAAGAACAATTTTCGGGATGAATGTAAGGTTTACAGTCACATTGAATGATTATTTATAGAATGTGACCTTTGGGTCAACAAAACAAAGTCTCAAGTGGTACCAAACTGAACTTTGAAAGGAAAACAAAACAGTGTACGTGCAGAACATCTTACGCCTCCACACCTTCACCGAAAGTTTTCTTCTTGCTGAGTCAAGTCTTGTCCGTGGAGATTTCAAATCCTTTGCTTTATTATGGTCTCGGGTGA